CGAGCAGGGAGCCTGATGCGGGACTCGATCCAGGGACTCCAGGATCATGACCTGAGCCGAAGGCAGTCGCTTAACCAACTGAGCCACCCAGGCGCCAAGAAGTTTTAAATTTTTATGTAGTCAAAAGTTCCGAACACTTTTCATTTGTATTTTTGCTTTTTTGTGTGTATTGTAAGAGAAGGCCTTCTCTAACTCAAGGACTCAGCGTAATAAATACGTTCTTCTATATTTCCAATCTAATGCTTTAAAAATATATATTGACATTTGTAATCTAGTTGTATTTGTGTGTGTGTGTGTGTGTGTAATGTTTCTGAATTCCATATTTTGTACCACTGTTTCTGAGCCAGTAGCACATATGCTTTGATATCTAGGAGGACACATGATCCCTAATTCATTTATTTTAAAGATGTCTTGACCATTCTTACATTCTATTGTATACATTTTTTAGTGTTTTGTTGCTGTGGTGAATGGGATTCTTTTTCTGATTATCCTTCCCACGTGATTATTACTGGCATGTGGCAGCCAGCATGGCCTGCTCAGAAGCTCAGGTCTGTCTGTGGCAGCCGTATGCCACCTCTCTCCATTTCCCAGATGCCTTGTGGCATAGGGCAGCCACGTGACACTCTTTCGGCTAAAGATGAAGTGCGAACAGGAGTTGCTGGGTGGGACTTCCAGAAAAGAGAGCAGACGCCACTGGTAACTACCTTTCCCTTCCCTGTCTCACCCCTTTTTGGTGTAGAACACAGATGTAATGGCAGAGCTATAGCCTTGAAAGAAAGATCAAGAGAATTTCAGAGACAGTGTTGACATCTGTGAGTTGAATTTTAATACGTGAAGAAGGAAATGAACCACTGATATTAATAAGGCACCATTTACTCAGATTTTCTGTTACATACAAACTCAGTCCTTAGCAGATATGTGGTGTTTCAGAAAGTTGGCTTAGCTGGTATCTTTCATTTGGCCCCCTTGCTGAGCTTCCTTATCACTTCTGACAATTTATGTGATTCTCTTGGGTTTTTGATGTAGTATGCACAAATAATCACAGTTTTGTGTCTTCTTTCTTTTATAATTTTTATGTTATTTTTTTTTCTTTTTCTAATTGAATTGTCTGAGACACTTAGGACAATGTTGAATAGTAACACTCTAGGTACTTATACCCTAGACAAGGTAAGCGATCCTTATTTTGTTCCTCACTTTAATTGGATTGCCTCTGACGTTTCAAGATACTTTATATCTAGTTTGCCAGTGATTTTAATCATAAAAATGAATTAAACTGCTTCATTCCTGGGTACGTGACG